ACTTAGATGGGCTGTGGTTTGGCTAATGAGTTAAGTAAGTTAAGATGATTAGAAAAGGGAGTTATAAAAATTAGCTAACTAGTTAAGTAGTAAGCCAGAAACAGAATGCAACATATGAAAATTTGTGACATGTACATGCTTTCATGTCGGTAAGTGAAAGGTACAGGTAGGAATTTCCAAACCAGAATTTCGCATGGATCAGGCGGTCGATGACCTTGGAATAAGAAAAAGTTGCTGGTTTCAGAAGCATTTGCAAATTTCTTGCCACAACAACAAATTTCAAATCCTTCATTTCCTGGCTGAAAATCATGTGAAACAGCATTGTCAAATCATGCAGCAGGAAGCAAGTGTATGCTGAGCAAGGAGGATGAAGACATAGCATGTGAAGCGAGCTATGTAATCATGCAAGCAGCTTTTGCTTGTCTTGCAGCTGCTGTTTCATGGCATGTCAGCATGATCATGAGGAAGCATGCATGTAGCATGGTACAAGGCCCATGCTTGGCAAGAAGTAGGCAGCCTTGCAGGAGGCTTCATGGACCGCTTGTCACAAGCAGCATGCCTTCTTTAACAATTGTTTTATGTTAAAAATTGCGAAGCCGAGCAGCTGCTCAGGTGCGGAGGTGAAACGGGATCAGAGTTCGGACACCGTTCGTGTCTTTGAAGTAATATACAGCAGTCAAGATGTCGTTGCTGTCGATAATGACGGGCTGCTCCACCTCGGTCCACAATGCACTGTGTGTGTGCTTCTGGTACTCCTGCAAGGTCCAGAGGGAAACCACGGACCACAGCTTGCCTAGCACGGACACATGGCACCAAACCTCGGCGCAATCCCAGGGGGCGGCTCGAGCATTGTCTGATTTTAGCAAACAGACGTCTCCTTTGCTCGCCACCCCACCCCCAGGAAGCCGGAGATTCGTAGCGACCGATAGGTCTTCCTTCGGCACACCCGGGAAACTCTGCAAAACCAGGTCCCTCAATTTGGCAGGTGTCTTCTTCTTTGGGTTCACCAAAGCGAGGCCTAATGGAAACTCGGGCAGGTTCTCTAAGTGCCACAACTCGTGAGCAATGACTTCCTCGTAGAGAGATCGCTCAAACGCCCTGGTATTCTGGATGGGCCCAGCATATCGAGTGATGGTCTTGTGTTTCCGCTCCATGCCGAAGGTTGCAGGCAACCTTTTATGTTTCTCAAAATGGTCGCCCATGTGTAGCAGCCAATGCATCTTCCTAGTTACGTGTTCGCCCCAGCCCGTTGCAAACCAGGAGGCCATGCATTCGTCGGCGGCCTGTCTCAACATGGAAGGCGTCACACAAGAAAAGCCATGACAAGCTGCTTGAAGCAGTTCAACCATCAGGCTCATCTGCAAGAAGGCCTGGCATTCGGATGCTAGGAATCCTTTGGCAAGGATACATGTGCGAACAAAGAAAGCTAGGACCGGGTTCAAGGTCAGCATCTCGCTGGCGGTGGTCTTAAACTTGCCGGCGTCCTTACAGGACTTCATCCTCTTGGTCTCGAAGAGTAGCTTCAACTTGATGTGGGCAAAGGAAGACGGCAATGTCCATAGATCCACGTATTTGTGCAGGGTGACAAAAACATCCTTGAAGCCATGGTCTTTCGTGGCACTGAGAAGTAACCAGGTTGAATCGTTCAATGTACCATTACTCAAGCAGCAATGCATCCAATCGTGAACGAACATACTCGCTGGTCTGACCACATTTTTGAGCAGAGGGTCGGAGAAGATGCTTTCTTCGCTGAATGTCCACCCTGTGGCTTGTTGCCAAAGCCCAAAATCTTTGATTGAACACCGGCCCTTCTGCTCGGCGAGCCTCGACCAAGAATCCCAAATATCCTCATCGGAAACAAGATGCAGGTCAGCATAGGAATGTTTGGCGATTCGCTCTTCGTTGCGAGGATCAGCTCGTTGATTACCACATAACAGGCAATATTTGCAACCGCCATCCCCCTTCACACTCCACACAAACTTGTGAGCAGCCCCATCTTGTATAATCATAGTTGGGAGGAATGATAAATGAAAGCCTCCACCAGGGCCCTGCATCCAAACACCTGCTGTCGGGTCATGCTTTGCATGCAGGAAGATGCTACGAAAAATAATTTTGAAGATCTGGCTGATACTTCCCTCCAGGGATGCCACAAAAGAGCTCCTTAGCAGTGCGATTGTGAGCCATGCTTCTTCCATCGCCAGCACTTGCGGCGGGAAATCCACACAACTCATGTAAACACACCAAGTTTTCCGTGAAGTACGTGCCGACAGTACGTTCCCAGGGATGATTTCGTCCGAATACAAAGCGAATCGGAGAGGTCGGTCAGCAGTTTTTGCCGCACAATCACGGAGCAACTTGTAGAAAGCTCCACCAGAACGGCAGATGCCGTCCAGGAGGCTGAGGACATTGACCAACAAAAAAGTGGCGGTGGCACCTGCAACCGTTTTGGCTTCGTGTTCCTCAAACAACGGGCCGTAGGACTCCTTGCTGGACAAATAGGACCTTGTGGCTTCTCGCATTTGTTTCGGATCGGAAAGTTCGGGCACACCGTGCTCGTGTATGTCTTGCAATAGCCCGTGGAGAGCATTCTTACTGCAATAAGGAGCTGCTCTTCGCAGCGAATTCAACCTTTGGAGTTTTTCTGGCCTCTCAATGGCGGACGAAGAAGAAGACATGACTGCAAAGTCCTTTGGACCCCAAGTTGGACTATTCAAAACTTTGCCATTGTGTGATATGCAAGGACAATCCCAAATGCACACAAATCTCCATGCTATTAATACCGGAGGTCCGTAACTAAAATCATACAATAAGGAAGAATAAAGGGTCACGAACTATAGACAGATTGAGCCATGAGGCCATCTTTGTTATTGTTGGTCCATGGACACACCATGCATGGCCGAGATTCTCAACAAGAGTCGTGAAGTCGAAACGGATTTCTTCATATATGCATGGCATATATGAAGAAATATGCCAGAGAAGAGTCCAACAACTCTTCACGTATGCATGGCACAATCTGACACATGACATTTCAGATGACATCCAAACAAAAACATGC